GAGTAGCTGGGACTACAGGTGCACACCATCACACCCAGCTAATTTTTGTATTTTTAGTAGAGACGGGGTTTCACCATGTTGTCCTTGATGGTCTCGATCTCTTGACCTTGTGATCCACCTGCCTCGGCCTCCCAAAGTGCTGGGATTATAGGCATGAGCCACCACGCCTGGCCTAAGTTTTGTATTTTTAGTTGAGATAGTGTTTCACCATGTTGGCCAGGGTGTTGTTGAACTCCTGACCTTGGGTGATCCGCCCACCTTGGCCTCCCAAAGCGCTGGGATTACAGGCATTTGCCACCATGCCCGACATGTATTGTTTTTTAATTTGTATTATTTTTATTGCTGTATTGTTATTTTACTTATTTTTTTCCAAATAATTTTTTTTTTCCTTTTTTAAGAGACAGGCCCATTCTGGAGTGCAGTGGCACAACCTTGGTTCACTGCAGCCTGAACCTCCCGGGCTCAAACAATTCTCCCACATCAGCCTCCTCAGTAGTGAGGACTGTGGGCATGTGCCACCATGTCCAGCTAATCTTTGTAGAGATGAGGGATTTTACTTTGTTGCCCAGGCTAGATTTTGTTTCAAATATTTTCAGTCTGCAGTTGGTTGAATCCACAGATGGAGAATCCTTGGATATGGAGGACCAGCATTATATAGACATCTTTGATAAAGTTTAGTTTATTAATTAGGCACAGTAAGAGATTAATAACAATAACTAATAAAATAGAACAATTATAACAATACATTGTAATAAAAGTAATGCGAATGTGGTCTCTCTCTGTCATGCTCAGTATCTTACTGTAGTAATAGTTTTGGACAGCAGTTAACTGCAGATAACTGAAACCTCAGAAAGTGAAACCACAGATGAGGGGGAGCTACTGTATGCATATGCTACCTTCTGAGGCTTCCAAGACTGAAAGATTTAAAATAGTCATTATATGTTTTTTATGGTTTATTGCTTATAAGATCAGGTCAGAAGGAGTATCAGAGCAGTATCATGCAATGTACAGTGTCTGGCCGTTCTTTAGGCCTGTGTATTGCTATTTAAAAACCCCAACAGTGGTTGACAGCTAAGGTGAAAACTGTTGTCCACAGAGCAACATTTTTTCTGAGTGATACGTCATGGTTTCTGTGCAGGCTCCATGGAGTGCGCTGATGAGCCCTGTGATGCCTATGAGGTGGAGCAGACCCCACAAGGATTCCGGTCTACCGTGAGGGCCCCTAGCTTGCTCTATAAGTGAGTCATGGGGATACACTTCCAGGAAACTTAGTGGGAAATGGACTCTTTGGTCGTCTATACTTATTGCAGTGCTTGATCACTAATGATAAAGTAGTGTAGTTTTATGTCCTAAAATTTCAAAGGACTGATTACAGAATAATTCCATTGTTCTACATGTATCGATAAGCTGATTTTGCCTCTTGTGTTAGGCCATTCTTGCATGGCTATGAAGAAATACCTGAGGCTGGGTAATTTATAAAGAAAAGAGGTTTTATTGGCTCATGGCTCTACAGATAGTACCAGCATGGCACTGGCATCTGGGGAGGCCTCAGGGACCTTTTACTCTTGGCAGAAGCTGAAGTGGGAGCAGGCATGTCACATGGTGAAAGCAGGAGCAAAAACGATGGGAAGTGAGGTGCCACACACTTTTAAACAACCAGATCTTGTGTGAGCTCACTCATTGATCAAGGAGATGGTGCGCAGCCATCATGAGGGATCCACCCCCATGATCCAAACACCTGCCACCAGGCCCCACTTCCAACACTGAGGATTACATTTCAACATGAGACTTGGCAGGGATACAGATCCAAACCACATCACCTTTTTTTTTTTTTAATTATTGTATTTTTGAGACAGGGTTTTATTCTGTTGTGAGGCTAGAGTGTAGTTGCACGATCTTGGATCACTGCAACCTCGACTGCCCAGGTTAAAGCAGTCCTCCCACCTCAGCCTCCCAAGTAGCTGGGACTGGCACACACCACCAAGACTGCCTGATTTTTTAAATTACTTGTAGAGATGTGGTTCTTACTATGTTTCCCTGGCTGATCTTGAACTCCTGGATTCAAGTTATCCTCCTACCTTGGTCTCCCAAAGTATTGGCATAAGATGCTATGCCCAGCCACCATGTCCCATGTTACTTTTAAATATTATTATTTTTTAAAGACAGGGCTTCTGTTTTGTCATCCAGGCTGGAATGATTCAGCTCACTGCAACCTCTGTCTCTCCGGTTCAGGCGATTCTCTTGCTTCAGCCTCCCGAGTAGCTGGGACTACAGGCATGTGCCACCACGCCCAGCTAATTTTTTGTGTTTTTGTTAGAGACAGGGTTTTGCCACGTCGGCCAGGCTGGTCTTTGAACTCCTGGCCTCAAGTAATCTGCCTCCCTTGGCCTCCAAAAGTGCTGTGATTACAGGCATGAACCACTGTGCCTGACCTATAGTGAATATTTTAGATTTTCCGTGTAAACCTCTTTCGAGTCCAGCTGTACTTTTAACTGGAAACATGCCAGTATGGGTTTAATGAAGACAGCATGTGTCATGCCACATACCTGTTGACTTTGTTAGGGATGGCACTATGTTAGAGAGGCTGGGGAAGAGACCCAGAGCCAGCAAATGAGACACAGCATTTTATCAAGCGGACTTACATAAAGGGCAGTGCAGTGGTGGTGGGCTTGACAAAACTTCAACTGCTTGTAAAAAGCATACAGTTTATATAACATTTCCACTTAGCACCCTGCCTCTAGCAGCCATCACCTGGCAACCTTTATTTAACCCAAAAGAAAGGGACTCAATCCCCTGTATGGTGTGGGTTCCATAAATGGGCCAGGGGATTCAGATATTGCTCATAGATAAAGGAATGAATCTTTGGGTTGGAATGAATCCAAGCCAGATTCTGTAGCTTGGAAATCTGAACACACATTCTTCTTAGATAATGGGGTGATTCTTAGGTAGGCTTAAGTTATTGCTGTCAGCTGTGTCTGCCATACAGGATCCTTCTCCTGGTATCCTTAACTTATCACTGTTAGGGGCATCTGCTGTACAGCATGGCCTGTGTGGAGCTGTGTGTCACTCATTGGGAAGGTCTTTCATATATGATCACATTTAGTCCTTATGACAACCTTTTGACAAATAGGTATTATTCACTCTTTTTTAATTTCAAATTTTATTTTTATTATTTATTTATTTGTTATTTTTTTTGAGACTGAGTTTCACTCTTGTTGCCTAGGCAATGGCACAATCTTGGCTCATGGCAATCTCCATCTCTTGGGTTCAAGGCATTCTCCTGCCTAAGTCTCCTAAGTAGCTGGGATTTACAGGCATGCAGCACCACGCCCGGCTAATTTTTGTATTTTTAGTAGAGACGGGGTTTCACCGTGTTGGTCAGGCTGGTCTTGAATGCATGACCTCAGGTGATCCACCTGCCTTGGCCTTCCAAAGTGCTGGGATTACAAAGTGCTAGGCGTGAGCCACTGCACCCAGCCAAATTTAATTTAATTTTATTTAGTTATTTAATTTATTGAGATGGAATCTCCCTCTGATACCCAGGCTGGAGTGCAATGGTGTGATCTCTACTCACTGCAGCCTCTGTCTCCCAGGTTCAAGCAATTCTCCTGCTCAGCCTCCCGAGTAGCTGGGATTACCAGTGCCCGCCACCATACCCCACTAATTTTTTTTTTTTTTTTGAGACAGAGTTTCACTCTTGTCACCTAAGCTGGAGTACAGTGCCATGATCTTGGCTCACTGCAACCTTTCCCTCCTGAGTTCAAATGATTCACCTGCCTCAGCCTCCCTAGTAGCTGGTATTACATGTACCTGCCATCACGTCTGGCTAATTTTTGTATTTAGTGGAGACAGGGTTTTACCATGTTGGCCAGGCTGCTTTCTATCTCCTGACTTCAGATGATCTGTCTGCCTTGGCCTCCCAAAGTGCTTGAATTACAGGCGTGAGCCACTGTGCCTGGCCTTGAGCCACCTTGCCTGGCCTCTCTAATTTTTGTATTTTTAGTAGAGTTGTGGTTTTGCCATGTTGGCCAGGCTGGTCTTGAACTCCTGACCTCAAGTGATCCGCCCACCTCAGCCTCTCAAAGTGTTGGGATTACAGGTATGAGCCACTGCAGCCAGACTATTTTTATTTCTTTATTTAATTAATTTTTTATTATTTTATTTTTTTAAGACAGAGTCTTGCTCTGTTGCCCAGGCTGGAGTGCAGTGGTGCGATCTTGGCTCACTGCAACCTCCACCTCCTGGGTTCAAGTGATTCTCCTGCCTCAGCCTCTCGATAGCTGGGATTACAGGCATGTGCCACCACACCCAGCTAATTTTTGTATTTTTAGTAGAGATGGGGTTTCACCATGTTGCCCAGGATGGTCTCGATCTCCTGACCTCATGATCTGCCCGCCTTGGCCTCCCAAAGTGCCGGGATTACAGGCATGAGCTACTGCAGCCAGCCCTGTTTTTATTTTTTTAGAGACAGGATCTCTTTTTGTCACCCAGGCCAGAGTGCTGTGGTGTGATCATAGCTCATCATAGCTTTGAACTCTTGGGCTCGAGGGATCCTTCTGCATCAGCCTCTCACTTCATTTTTATATGTGAAGAAGTAGGCTTACAGTGGTTACATGAGTTGCTCAAGGCTTGTTTGATTCTAAAGCCTTTTAAACCTCAATCACTTTGCTTTCTAAGGTGCTGAAGCCTAGATTATTAATAGCACTTTGAGCCACTGCATTTTGTTATAGGCTTGTTCACTAGCCACATAGTAACACACTGGAGCCTGATAGAAAGCACTTCTAATTGGTAAGGTGGGAAGACAAAGGCCTCAGAGTTGGTGCCCTACAATCTCCAGCCCAATACAATGGGAAACCACTTGGAAACTACAGACTTCCAATCTTCTAATCATCTTACTTTAAAAAACTGGCTTACTATAATAGATTTTAATGGAAGTAATTGGGCTTGGTTATCCCATAAAAAAACAAATGAGCAATTTTAGACATAGTTATCCATAGTATTGGGTACTGTAATTGAAATCGTAGAAGTTGAAATAACGTTGATGATGAGTTTTCTCTTAACTCTGTAGCCCTGTGACAGCCTCTTACTGCTTTAGTCTCTGAAACTTCTCTCTTGGGATTCAGTAGTCTCATTCATTTAAACATAGCAAATGACTGGGGGTTCCAGGAGATAACTTTGGATTGTTACAATTATTTACACTCGAAAGCCTAGGCGAGTAATGTAAATGAGTCAATAAGTGATTGAAGTGGGGTAGATGAAAGACTGTCGGGAGTGATGGGGATTGTGAGCTCATGTCCCGTCTTCATGGGGTAGTCGAGAGTTGGCTATAGCTTTCTGTTGTCATGAGTCCTCAGATGTTCTAATTTTTCTATTAAAAATTTTTTTTTTTGATATGGAGTCTCATTCTTGTTGCCCAGGCTGGAATACAGTGGTATGATCTCAGCTCACTGTAACCCCTGCCTCTGGGTTCAAGTGATTCTCCTGCTTCAGCCTCCTGAGTAGTCGGGATTACAGGTGCCCTGGCGTCACGCCTGGTTAAGTTTTGTATTTTAATAGAGATGGGGTTTCACCATGTTGGCCAGGCTGGTCTTGAACTCCTGACTTCAGGCGATCTTCCCACCTTGGCCTTTCAGAGTGCTGGGATTAGAGGTGTGAACCACTGAGGCTGGCCTAAAATATTTTTTTAGAGATGGGGTCTTACTCTTTTGCCTAGGCTGGTCTCAAACTCCTGGTCTTAAGCAGTCCTCCCACCTCAGCCTCTTGAGTAGCAGAGATTACAGGCATGAGCCACTGTGCCTGCTGGCCAGCTTTTCTTTTACTTAATTGCAGACCTAGATTTTAAATCTAATTTTGAGAAGGAAATGGGCGTTGGGCATGGTTTTTCTATGCATCGAATTGGCTATAGGGCCAAAAACTCATTTTTGCCAATGACTTTAATGCGGCATGTTCTAAAGCTAGATGACTTGTAATTTCTTCCACAAATATTGGGCTTTTACTGAACCACTTTTCCGTAAGGGAATATCTCTAGTCACAAAGGATTTAAACATGATGAGATTCTTAATTTTGGTACATTTTGACTTAATATCCTTTTAATTACCTTTTCTTTATACAGGCATATAGTTGGAAAGAGAGGGGACACTAGGAAGAAAATAGAAATGGAGACCAAAACATCTATTAGCATTCCTAAACCTGGACAAGATGGGGAAATTGGTGAGACTCAGTGGATATGAGTTATATTTGAAGTCACTTTTGCATGTGTATGGAATAATGTAACCGATTACAGCATTTAGTAACTGTGTTCTCTGTGCGGTTCTATAGCTATGGGCCTTTTTATGGTTTATCAGTACCAACCTCCCAAATGAGGAAAGATGGAAATATACAGCCTTATCTTGATTGAGTACCGGGGCCTTAATTTTATACTTTACCATACATTGATGATTGATGGAATAAAGCGTCTAGACTTCAGTATGTATTAGATTTCTTTTCACTCTGTCACCCAGGCTGGAGTGCAATGGCATGGTCTCGGCTCACTGCAACCTCTGCCTCCTGGGTTCAAACGATTCTCTTGCCTCAGCCTCCCAAGTAGCTGGGACTACGGGTGTGTGCCACCACACCAGGCTAATTTTTGTATTTTTAGTAGAGACGAGGTTTCACTATGTTGGTCAGGCTGGTCTCGAACTCCTGACCTCATGATCCACCCACCTCCACTTCCCAAAGTGCTGAGATTACAGGCGTGAGCCACCGTGCCTGGCCTAGATTTATTTTTGTGCTTTGGTAGCTTGAAGTGGATTTGTGAATTGTTTTCAGTTAGAATTAGAGAAAACCAATGGGATCAGTGAATATGAAATAAAGTTTAGCCTTTTCCATTATGTTCTCAACTTTTTGCCCTTGATTTTGTAAACCAGGAAGGAAACGAAAGAAATTAACAAAATATTTCCATTATTTAATTTGTACTTTTAGTTTCAAATGTAAACTTGTACTATCACACACATTTGTATTATGTGTGTCAGATAAGTAAAAAGAAATATTTTGATTTTATTTTTGACAGTTAATTTTTATTAAACCTAAGGCAAATCATAAAAAAAAGGGTAGTGATTAAAATAATATAACTTGACTCAAATAACTGTTCTGATGAAGAAAAATAGTTTAGCAGTATAAATCAAGTCAGAAAGTATCTGTATCAAGCCTCAGTGTGAACCAAGGGCATAGGCTTTTGTTGTACAATGACTTTGAGTGAGGGGCATTGTTAGGACAAAATTGTAAACTGGTTCTGGAAGGATGGATTTTTTTTTTTTTTTTTTTTGGAGACAGTCTTGCTCTGTTGTCCAAGCTGGAGTGCCAAGGCTCACTGCAACCTCTGTCCCGCAGGTTCAAGCAATTCTTCTGCCTCAGCCTCCTGAGTGGCTGGGACTACAGGCGTGTGCCACCATACCCAGCTAATTTTTGTATTGATTCATAGAGACAGGGTTTTGCTATGTTGGCCAGGCTGGTCTCAAGTGATCCATCCATCTTGGCCTTTTAAAGTGCTGGGATTACAGATGTGAGCTACCGTGCCTGGCTGATGGAACTTTTTAAAGTCAAAGAATGCAGCAACTTCCAATAATTCATTAACCCATTTTTTTTTCTTTTTTCATTTAAAAGTTTTTATTTTTTATTGAGACAGAGTTTCACCATGTTTCCTAGGCTGGTCTTGAACTTTTGGTCTCAAGTAATCTGCCTGTCTTGGCCTCCCAAGGTGCTGGAATTACAGACTGAGCCACCATACCTGGCCTTTTAATCATTTATTTTAGTTTTTTTTTTGGAGACAGAGTCACCCTCTGTTGTCCAGGCTGGAGTGTAGTGGTGTGATCACAGCTCACTGCAGCCTCTACCTCCTGCGCTCAATCAGTCCTCCCATCTCAGCCTGCCATAGCTGGGACTACAGGCACATGCCACCACACCTGGCTAATTTTAATTTTTTTTTGTATTTTTTGTAGAGACAAGGTTTCACCACATTGCTCAGGTTGGTCTGGAACTCCTCAGCTCAGGTGACCTGCCTACCTTGGCTTCCAAAGTATTGGGGTTACAGGCATGAGCGTGTTGCCCAGGCTAGAGTGCAGTGACTCCGTCATAGCTCATTGTAGCCTTGAGCTCCTGGGCTCAAGCAATCCTCCTCCCTCAGCCTTCCAAGTAGCTGTAACTACAGGCACATGCCACCATGCCCAGGTAATTTTTATTTTTGTTTGTAGAGATGGGGTCTTGCTATGTTGCCCAGGCAGGCTTTGAACTCCTGGGTTTAAGTGATCCTTCCTCCTTGGCCTCCCAAAGTGCTGGGATTATAGACCTGAGTCACTGCCCCCAACCCCATTTTCCATTAATGCTCATGGATTGTATTGTTTTCACGAAAGAATTATAAGTACCGTTCATTTTATGTTATGTAAGAATAATCACCTTGACTGGGGACAGTGGCACATACCTGTAATGTCAGCGCTTCGGGAGATTGAGGTCGGAGGATCGCTTGAGCCCAGGAGGTCGAGGCTGCAATGAACTGTGTTCACGGCACCACACTTCAGCCTGGGTGACAGAATGAGACCCTGTCATACACACACACACAAAAGAATAATCACCTTGACAGCAGATAAGTAGCAATTGACTTTAGAGCAGTGGTATCCAGAAGTACTTACTGTGATGGTGAGAATGTTCTGTATCCATGCCATCTAGCACAGCAGCTGCATGTGTCAGGTACTGATCATATGTGACTGTGAGTACTTGAAATATTGCTAGTGTGACAAGAACTGAATTTTTACATTTACTGAATTCAGATTAATTTAACTAGCTGCATGTGGGCTCACATATTGGCCAGTGCAGTGCTGCAGGTTTTCTTTACTTCCCTGATAATGTTAACAAACTCTAGCATTAGAACTTTTAATGTTAACAAACTCTAGCATTAGAACTTTTAACAGCATTTGGAAAGGTTTTTATTAAAATAAATATTCAGTTTATTAGAATTGTAAGTGCGAACATTTATTTTCCTTAAGCTTTAACATTCAAGTTACAAATACTAAAGTCATTTTATAATTGCATTAAAGTGTCATCTATTTTTTTCTGATTATAAAATTAATACATGCTTTCAAAAAAGAGAAAGGTTGCAGAAATAATGTATAAGGTATAAATGGAAGTCTCTTATAATATGAACCCAAACATAATTGCTATTAACATTTGTTATATGTTCCCCATTTTTTTATCTGTGTAGTAAGTTTTATATATACATATAAATATATACATATATATGTGTGTATACACACACACACACACACACACACACACACACATATATATTTTTTTGAGATGGAGTTTTGCTCTTGTTGCCCAGGCTGGAGTGCAATGGTGTGATCTTAGCTCACTGCAACCTCCACCTCCCAGGTTCAACTGTTTCTCCTTCTTCAGCCTCCCAAGTAGCTGGGATTACAGACATGCACCACCATACCCAGCTAATTTTGTTTGTTTGTTTTTTTTGAGATGGAGTCTTGCTCTGTCACCCAAGGTAGAGTGCAGTGGCATGATTTTGGCTCACTGCAACCTCCGCCTCCTGAGTTTAAGCAATTCTCTGCCTCAGCCTCCTGAGGAGCTAGGATTACAGGCATGTGCCACCATGCCCAGCTAATTTTTGTATTTTTAGTAGAGGCAAGTTTTCTCCATGATGGTCAGGCTGGTCTTGAACTCACGACCTCAGGTGATCCGCCCACCTCAGCCTCCCAAAGTGCTGGGATTATAGGCGTGAGCCACCGTGCTTCACCAGTTATATGATATTTTTTATTGCAGTAAAATTATAACATGGTATAAATGTGGAGACCTTAGCCATTTTAATATACTAGAGTTAGCCAGGCACAGTGGCTTACACCCGTAATCCCAGCCCTTTGGGAGGCCTAGGCAGGGGTGGATCACGAGGTAAGGAGTTCAAGACCAGCCTGGCCAAGTTGGTGAAACCCCGTCTCTACTAAAAATACAAGAATTAGCCGTGTGTGGTGGAGTACGCCTGTAATCCCAGCTACTCATGAGGCTGAGGCAGAAGAATCGATTGAGCCCGGGAGACAGAGGCTGTGGTGAGCTGAGATCGTGCCACTGCATTTCAGTCTGGGTGACAGAGCGAGACTCTGTCTCCAAAAAAAAAAAAAAATGTGCTAGAGTCATTCCAGAACTTATCCAGAAAAGAGTAGACAAGCTATAAAGATTCCATTTCAACTTAGCACAAATGTTGCAGTATGAAAAACTACGGTATCAGTTTGGGCTTGGTGGCTTATGCCTGTAATCCCAACACTTTGGGAGTCCTAGGTGGGAGGATCACTTGAGCCTAGGTGTTCAAGGTCAGCCTGGGCAACATGGCAAAACCCCATCTCTACAAAAAAATACAAAAATTGGCTGGGTGTGCTGGTGCGTGCTTGTAGTCACAGCTACTTGGGAGGCTGAGGTAGGAGGATCTTTTGATCTGGGAAGGTCGAGGTTGTAGTGAGCCATGATCGTGCCATTGCACTCTAACCTGGGTTACACAATGAGACTCTGTCTCAAACAGCAAGAGCAACAACAAAGAAAAAAACTAGGCAGGCACGATGGCTCATGCCTGTAATCTCAACACTTTGGGAGGCCGAGTAGGTTGGATCACTTGAGGTCAGGAGTTCGAGACCAGCCTGACCAATATGGTGAAACCTTGTCTTTACTAAAAATACAAAATTGGCCGGGCATGGTAGCTCATGCGTGTAATCCCAGCTACTCAAGAGGCTGAAGCAGAAGAATTGCTTGAACCTGGGAGGTAGAGGATGCAGTGAGCTGAGATCATGCCACTGTACTCCACCCTGGGCAACAGAGCAAGGTGAAAAAAAAAAAAGGAAAAATTAGTGTGTCTAATTGTTAAATGTAAGAATTTAGTGCAACTAATTTAATTGAAAAGCAAGAAAATAAACTGGTTTATTGGGCCAGGTGTGGTGGCTCACGCCTGTAATCCCAGCACTTTGGGAGGCAGAGGTAGGCAGATCACGAGGTCAAGAGTTCGAGACCAGCCTGGCCAACATGGTGAAACCCATCTCTTCTAAAAATACAAAAATTAGTCAGGTGTGGTGGCATGTGCCTATAATCCCAGCTACTCCAGAGGCTGGGCAGGAGAATTGCATGATCCTGGGAGGCAGAGGTTGCAGTGAACTAAGATTGCGCCATTGCACTCTAGCCTGGGTGACTGAGCAAGACTCTGTCTCAAAGAATAAAATAAAATAAATAAATAAATCAGAAGAAAAGCTTCTGGAACATCAGAAGCTTCCCCGCCCCCCCCCAAAGTGCTGGGATTGCAGGCATGAGCCACCATGCCTTGCCTTTCCCTTTCCCTTTCCCTTTCCTTTCCCTTCCTTTTCCTTTTCCTTTCCCTTTCCTTTCCTTTCCCTTCCCCTTCCCTTCTTTTTTCCCTTTCCTCTCCCCTCCCCTGCCCTTCCTTCCTGTTCCCCCCCCAACTTTCTCTCTTTCTGTTTTTACTTATTTTGGGTATCCCTAAGAGTGGAATTTCTGGGTTATCTATGTTTAACTTTTTTTTTTTTTTTTTTTTGAGACAGAGTCTACCCCTGTCACCCAGGCTGGAGTTCAGTGGCATGACCTCAGTTCACTGCAGTCTCCACCTTGCCAGCTTAAGCCATTCTCATGCCTCAGCCTCCCAAGTAGCTGGGATTACAGACATGTGCCACCACTCCTAGCTAATTTTTGTATTTTTAGTAGAGATGGGGTTTTGCCATATTGGCCAGACTGGTCTCGAACTCCTGATCTCAAGTGATCTGCCCACCTCAGCCTCCCAAAATCCTGGGATTACAGGTCACCACGCCCAGCTATGTGTAACTTTTAAAGGAATTACCAAACTTTTTCATAGTGGCTACACCATTTTACATTCCTACCAGCAAAGGTTTGCTTTGTAGCATTTGAATTCATTTTTCTACTTTATAAGGCATCTTAAGGATATTTTCTATTTATAAGCCTTATTCTGCTTACATTGAATTAATTAGCAGTTTTTTTTTTTTTTTTTTTTTT